GCGCAAAAGTGAAGTGGGAGGGGGGCTTGATGATCAGTTGAGGGCCACTAATTCGCAAAATAAGGTGATTTTAGGTTATTTTTTTGGGAAACTGTGGGGGGGGGCGAAAGTAATTTTTGGGAGGGAGTGCACCCAACCTACACCCCCTAGATATGCCACTGCTGATTAACTATGTTATTTACTGATTGATTATGTTATCTATTGATTATAGTTGATTGATGAATGGATTGATTGACTGAATATTATTTTTTGATTGATTGATTGATTAACTAATTGGTAGAATGCTTGATTTAATACATTTCTGATAAGATGTCAGACAAATTAATAATTCATTCATTGGAAAGGAAGACAGTAATTGTTATGCACAAGCAATGCCACATTCTTGAAATATTGCTTATTATTTAATAGCATTATTATAAAGTGTCCAAGCAAAATATCAAGTAAAGTCAAGACAGATTAATGAAGAGTAAGGATTGAAAAAGTCTAAAATATACGAAGGTTTGTGTATTTGACTAAGGGTTATGGATGGGGAATGTAAAATGAATTAAAGGTAGCACTTAAAAAGATTACTGTATATAATCTTAGTAGTAAGTTTGCATACAGGGCTAAATGGAGGGGAAAATACAAAACAATTCAAGGAGCAAAATTATTAATATTAGAGTAAAAAGTATAGATGTTTTAACAAATTAAAATTGATAATTAAGATAAACACCAAAATTAGTTGGATTAAAATGTACATTAATATATGATACATAATACTGTAAAGATAAAATTTAAACAAGTTTGCAGTAACGCTCAACATATAAATATATATTAATAATAACAATAACAAATAAAAATAACGATAATAATAATATAAATTGTACATAGCAACCAAATAAAATATTTGCGAAAGAGAGAAATTCATCCCAGCTGTGAAATTTTAAAAAATCGGGTCTCCGTTATCCACTAGTTCACTGGGTCTGTATGGAAAAATTGGACAGCACTAGTTTAAAAGTGCATACACAGAAGGGAGATCAACATATATTCAAACACAAATAATTAAGACAAAATACTGAAAAACAATGAAATAGGAAATGATGCTGAGATCTTGATTAAAAGGTACTAAAGCGAATGCCAAATATTTCTAACACAAGATATCAAAGCAATTAGTAATCCAGAGGTCTTCATCAATGGTGTATACATATATAAAATGTTATGTTAATTTCAGCTATCTATCAGGTCTTTATAAAATATTAAAACATTTTGAAAAAAGAACAATTAACAGAAGAATGAAAGTTTTTAAAGCAAATTCAGAAATAAGAAACACAAACTGAAACACAAGCTTACAAATTAAAAAATATACATAAAAAAAACTCATAATTTTTGTTAAGAATTTGAACAGACAATTAAACGTTTAGTACGGTAAAGAGAGCATGCTTAAACCGAACACTCACTGCATCGGTCGACTGTCGGATGACGAATCCAACTTCACTCCCTGCGAGCGTTAGATGATGCGACGCTGTCTGCCGGTCGAGCTTAACACTCGGTTTGGGGCCCCCACACGCCGAGCACAAAGACTTGCGAGCGGACATGCCGATCGAGACTACAATAAAAAGGATATCTTGTCAACCACAAGTTGAAAATAAATCCAAGGCAAAAATAAATCCAAAGCAAAAATAAATCCAAGAAGAACAGAATTGCTTGAAAAGTCCTGCTAGTAATTTTCAAAGGCTAGATGTATCCGACTTCGAACAACGTCGAAAAGGGAATGAGGACGTTTGTTAGGGAGACGGTTCGCACGTGGCGCCTTGGGTCGGACAGTTCCATTTTTTTTCGAAGGGGTGTTCCGTTTTGGGAACAATGGCAATTAGTCGGTTATCCAGGTAAGTATTCACGAAATAGACGATGCGAAGCTGTCTGGTGATTGTCAGTGGCAGTCTAAACGGATCGTCATTAAAAACTATCTATTGCGCACGCATCGTGGCGTTGTGTTCTCTATAAAATCACGTTTGGCCGACGACTGCAGTGAGTGCCTGGCATAACAAAGCATTAAAACTAAAGAACAACTACGGGACTGCATTTTATACCTTTCTTCAAATGTCAATGGACCTTTTCCAGGCCTGAAATAAGCCAATACAAGTAATCAGCCTGATTACATGATCACAAAATACATAGTAATGTCAATAAGTTACACAATTTAAACTACTGAGTTTGTCTTATCTGTAACTATAAGTATTGCCCCAACAACAATAAACAAAATAGAATTATATTTACACAATTAAGAATTAAGGGCATGAAATTGTGTCACTATATGTGGCAAAGACAAGCCAAACCAGTCACTCGTCGCAAATCGTGTTACAGAGAAAATGGTCAAAACATGCTGGAATGTCAAATTTGTTTAAATCTATTTTATTGCATTAAATTAACCTTTATATATCTATACATCATTGTATGCTGTTATTTTCCCCATTTTCAATGTTAAAACAACAATTTTTAAGGATTTAAAGATAGTTTCTGCATGAGAAATGCCTGAAATAAATGATTTCTCATATATTGTTCTTTAAACAGCTGTGTGATAAAACGCTTGTAACTTCATAAGGAAATGTCCGATTTGAATGATTTTTTTTACCATTTTATAGCTATTATTTTACTCTCTAACATTGTATTAATAACGATTTTTGCGACGAGTGACTGGTTTGGCTTGTCTTTGCCACATATGGGGCTTACCATCTCAAAACCAGCCTTCCAGTGCAATATGTTAAACTGTGTAATTAGCATAAGAATGTGGCAGTAATGTATATTTTAGTACAGAAAAGCCATAGTGTGGAGAATAAGAATATATTAAAAAGTCAGTTTTTCATTTTTTTTTTTTTTTTGGTCACTGATACTGGTTTGAAAAAGACAGGCCTCATATAATAAACACCCTGTCTGTACTTCCTCATTGCCTGCTAGGTTTGAATATTTATGTCGTGATAAATGTGAGATGTTCCCACAACAGAATAAAGTGATCAGACATGGGATGACTTATCAATACTGCTTAAAGTTTGGCAACACCTTCTTTATACATTTATTGAAGTTCCTACAATAAATACAGGACTATCATCTTTGAGCTGTTGCAGCAAAACAGAAGCTACCGTTTCCGCATTTCCATCTGCTGTAGAGGAGCTTACAACTACTTAAATCACTCCCAATTATATTGCTAAATAAATGATTGAAGACACAGGACATTTTTCAACATCTAAGGTACATTTTTTGGCAAACATTAATGTTCTTGCACTACTTCAAAAAATATCATCAGGATTATTCCTGATGATACCTAAATAAAAGCAAAAAGTCATAAAAGATCCTTGTCAATTTTAGTGCACATCCTAATTCCTGCACTACTCATTGGTTTATATAGAAGGTTACACCTCTGCTGATTGTTTTATTATAAGTCAGCATTCAAATCGGCTCTCAGAAAGTTTGAAAGCCATCCAACCCAAGGCATGAGGCCAAGATGGAGCCCCTGGGCCAAGTTTAATCGAAACATAAACATTGCCATTTCTTATGGGATTATGTTAGATTGCATAATTCAATTCATTTATCTTATTACAAAAAGGGAATGAATATTTCCACTAAAATAGTTACAAAGGCCTTTTGAAACTTGTTGGCTCTTAACATAGCTTTGTATTGTATACAAATTATACACTGTGTATAAAAAGGTTTCAAATACAAATTATAAAATAACAATAAAACGTTGCTTTTAACTTTGTGGAGATATATAAACAGGAGTGACTTGTCTCAACGAGGAATACCTCTGCTAGTATTTTGCCTACTCCATGAAATTAAACAAAACAAAAATAAAGACCAATCCTTACATCATGCAATGAAAAACTCTCTTGTGTTTGCAATAGTTAGGCCTACAGAGGCTTGCGATTGTTATTGCTCAAATTTAATACCATTACTCTATCTTGGTGATTTTCCAAGCAAACCAATTAGCCATGTTTAGAACTTGTGGACAATTTCAAGCTATTAGAAGTGCAGGCTAACTAGCATTTCAAAAACCAGAAGCACTCAAAATGTACTTTTAGACTATTGTATTTGATGACAATATATTTTAAAAGAACACAAACAGCACACAATAACTCAATACCTATGCCATGTGACCCGGCCTTTGAATCTGCCCTTATATGTGCAATGCTATAAGGGTGGGCAAGGCAGGATAGGATTTATGTGAGTTTCTGGCTAAATTCAGCACTAAAGCTCAGCAAAATGACAATCCAATTATTTTTTTTTATTTTTTTTTTTTTTATGAAATACTTTAGAAAGCATACATTTAAATATTGTTTTTTTTTTGTTTTTTTGGTATTTTATGTAAAAAGTACACTTATTTTATACCATTTAAATGTTTTTCAACGCATGAATATATCACTTAAACATTCAAGTCAATAGCTTTAGAACTCTTATTCTTATACAATGTTACAAATATATCCTTATAAGCATTCAAAAAATATGCTTCTCTATTTAAACAATTCATCTGAAAAAGAAAACGTATATACATTTAGAAAAGATTAAATATATATTGTTACCTTTGCAGATCAAACAGCTCCTTGAACATACATAGTACATACAAAGGTTTAGCATCCTCATCAAGTCCCCATGGGGAGAAATCATACCTGCAATAGGATAAGCAGATAATATAAATAATTAGAACTTTCCAACAGTATGAATGTACTTTATAAAGATGTTCTCTTACTACATAAACTGTTACTATTCTACAAAACGCTTGTATGTGATTTCTTCTAAATCCTGGATGCCTGTGACAGTAGTATGTTCTCCAACAGGTAAAATAGAAATCAAAAGACAATTTGCAACAGGCCAAATCAATTAGTGCCAACAATTCAATAAATAAAATTGAGTAGATTAAAAAGAAATATGAAGTAGAATCTACATACAAAAGTCAAAAACATTGCAGACAGAAAACAAATCATCCTCATACCTAACTTGTTTTAGTTAAAACCAGGAATACAGAATCAATAGAGACAGAAAAACATTACATACTAGGCCTCTGCTGTGCTAATGAAATGTTTGTTTCAATTAGCATACCTTCATTCTATAAATATCTCAGGAAATCTGTGTACAGTTTTAAGAGCAAAATTGATAAGAGTTACAACAGCCTTTCAAATGTTTTTGTTCTAAAATGCTGTGTGATTCAAAATTGAAATTGAATTGGAATCGGTTGTATTTACCAGCACAGTAGATATTGATTGTAGAAGATCGTGTATTGTCTTTAATTTGATTGATTGGTTGATTGATTGATTAATTGATTAATTAGTTGGTTGATTGAGTGATTAGTTAATTTCTGGCCAATTTTATTTGTTTATATTGTTTGTATATACTGTTTGGTGCTGGGCCTTGTGTTATTCTTGTGATTGTTATGTTTATGGAAGGAAACTCAACTGAAATAAAAGTTGAATTGAATTAAATTGTATTTACCTAATTTGTTTTTACCAAATCGGAATTGAGAGCAGCTAATTCTTATTTATTTACTTAATTACTTCCCTAGAGAAATTGAGTTCGCTAGCCTATGGCTGTGTATTGTCACTCTATAAAAGCTTTTGTAGTACTGTATGTACTATTATGTGCATAAACTATTATGTAGGTATTGTTACTCAATGGACTATTATATATGTATGAATTATAATACAAACTGTTGTAATTAGTTATTCAATATGTATGGCAAGTGTGGCCATACAAACTATTATGTAGGTTATTGTTAAAAAAATACACTACAGTATTATGTTTGTATTATATACTACATACTGTTATGTAGTGTTACGTTTTGTGTCTCCATTCTACCATGATTCTACAAACTGTTATTGATCGATTAAATCAGGGGTTCTGAACTATATTGCAATAGGGGCCAAAATTGTTATTGAACATTTATGCTTTAAAATTATATAAATAGGAAGAAATATACAAATCTTATTTTTGGAGATTTTAAGGCAAGGTGACAGGCATAATAAAAATAATAAAAACATTTTACTTTTTCTGAAATTTAATTTTTTCTTCAAGGTGGCAGGTGTGCTAATTGGCAAAAAATAAAATTTTATTTTTATTCCAAATCATAACTATTGGCGGGCAGCAGGTTCGCTAAACAAGGTATAAAAAAAAAATCTTGAGTTACTCTATAAAATGTTATGAATGCATTATATAATATTCTAAACTCTATATACTTCAGAAAGGCAAGAAAATGTGCTGTTGTAATGCAGGAAATCCATAAAAAATAAAATCCTTAACCAGCTTCATTATTGAGTTCAAATTTAGGCCATTATAATACCCTTTATCAAGCAACCAGGCTTACCTAGCCAGGTCTGGTATTGGCTCCGGCACTCGCATATCTTTTAGCTTTCTGAATTCTTCCTCTGAACATTGCCTGTGGTAACTCAGTATCTCTAAGGCAACCCTGTGTTTCTGCTCTGACCGTCGAATCTTGTCGTACAGCTTGGCATGGTGCAACGCCAGGCCGCAGTACACGGCAAACGTTTCAAAGGCATGTTCGTCTGCCTGTGTAAATGCACCGTTCTTTTTATTTACCATCTGTACCACACCAATTATGCTAAGAGAAAGAGAGTACAGTAGAACATAATTTAAATTCAATTGATTTTCATTGGCAAGATATGATGAACACTGCACATTTTATAAACTGTTGAAAACATCACATTTTATAAAATAAGAAAAATAAATAAATAATTTTAATCACTCATTTACATTATTTTTATAATACCAATAATAATAATATTTATTGGATTCACTTTTGCAACAGTGACACACATCAGACAATACCTAATGATGCATCCAGAAAAAAATTAAAATAAATTAAATTAAATTGAAAACAAAAGATACAACAGAAACACAGATGAGTGGAAGGCCTATAATTGTATTCAATTCAATTATTTAAATACTTCCAAATAATAATAATAATAATGGATGAGTGGAAGGCCTATAATTTTATTCAATTCAATTATTTAAATACCTCCAAATGATTATAAGGAACATTATGTGTGAATCTAATACATACTGTAGTTACTACTATGTATTTAAGGGGCAGCTTAGCAGACACTTAATAACTATGGTAGTGAATACTTTTGTATCAACTGCCTTTATATTATTTTTTGATCAGATAATCAAATGAAATGGAATATACTCACTGTCCTCTAATCTTGATTGGCATACACAGCAGAGACTTCGTAACATACCCAGTTTGGATATCCACCTGTTTGTTGAACCTTTCATCCAGGTATGCATCAGGTATGTTAAGGTTCTCACCTGAGGTTGCAACATGCCCGGCAACTCCTTTACCAATTGGGAACCTTAAAAGGTATAAAAATAAATCATACAGGTTAAAAAAAATACAAAATATAAAAGAATCAAATGACATAATCCATTATCCTAACTCTCAGCTGCTTAGACTATACAATAGAGTAAATTATCATTGTCTCCAGTTGGATACAAATGTTATCATACTTAACAAAAAGCTGGAAACCTATCCAATGAATCCTGCGCTGTGCAGATATGCTTTTCTGTGGCAAAATTCACTATTCAAGTAAATATGTGATTTATGCTTTAGTTAGTTGAGGTGTAGGTGGTTGTTAAAATGCTTTCATTCCAATTCCAAAGTCCCACGTTCAGATCCAGAGGCACCAGAATTTTTTTATGAGGACTATTAGGGGCTTAGAGTTTGTTCTGGGACTCCTGACTTTTGTCATGGGGACTTTGTTGCTTTTGGGACCCTAAGTCCACACTACCTCAGCCTCATCATGGTTGTGGATGAGGTGAGGAAATGTTAAGAATATGGCACCTCTAGATGGCCGTAATAAATAATTATTGAAAAGATAAAAGATATAAGGCACTCGTCTGAATAAATAAATGAAATTAAATGACTAAAAAATCTCCATTTACCTAAGATTTTTAGGGAGACTAAGTTTACAGAGATTCTCCTTTTCAGCTGAAACTGTGGAATAATCTGGAAGTCTTACCCACTATAAATATGGTTTTAAAAACTGTACCTGATTTCTTTCTGATCTTTTGTGACTACCTGGCTGCCTTGGCCATCACCCACATCAAAAATTCTTGCATACAGTTCCTGGCTCTTGTTGTCAACCAGAAACAGAGACGCCCTGTCAGCACTAACTAAACGCTGTGCAAAATTCTGTAAAACAAGTTTTCAGAGTTTTAGTTTTAATTACACAACCATATACCAACTTAAGAAAACATAGGCAACTCATGCAAATGCTAGTATAATTCCAATATCCAACTCTTACTCACTTATCTTCAAAGCACTATATCATCAAAAGAAAATAGAGAAGTACTAAATAATACATGCAGAGTATTTTATAAATTACTGAAACTAAAAAAAAATATATTTTCAATAACAATAATTGTTATAACCTTTGCATTGACAACAAGCAAGCACTTAACGCATCATTCCGCCCACCACCCCACCTCATTTAAGAAGAAAAACAGAAGTTATGTCAATAAAATTCAGATAAATATGAATGAAAAAATGGAGCGAACAACACCCATTGTCTCACTTTCCTGTGTAATTTCCTATACCGCCATATTTTCTTCCTGTCATCTGTGGGGCAACTGATGGGTTAAGTACGTAAACAATACAAAGGTTACATAATATCACAGATGTTAATTTTATTAAAATCCAATTTATTCTCTGAAAAAAAATTGTTAAGATAAAAAATTAGACAAACATCAGTAGTTTGCAGGTACAGCATACCAAAGACGGAGATGGGATAAAGTAGAAAGCTGACAAATTTAAAGCATTATTTACTGCAGAATTGTTTACAAACTAGAAAAATAAATGATTCAGATACTGCTCTGTCAATTTATAAACCTTTATTATACATCTATAATATTATATAATCTTCGTATTTTTAAACTTGTGCATGTCAGTGCACCTACAGCCCCCACCCTTTATTTTACGAGAAATACAAAAGTTATGTAAGTAAAATTCAGGATATGACATGGTCATGCATAAAAAATACAGCAAAGATCACTACTGTCTTTGTTTTCCTGTGCAATTTCCTAAAACGTTGATGTTTTTCTACATGTTGGCTGTGCATGCACTGATGCGTTAAGTGCGCACATATAAACAATACAAGGAGTCCATGTTCAAGGCTGATTTTTAATTCATTACAGGTGGTTTATCTTTAATGGCGAGTGGCTAATGTAAAATAATTCCATTGGAATTGTTTTTTTACCCCGTCTTTTAATAATAAAATAAATGGTCTATAAATGACATGCAAAAGCATACTGTACTTAATCATTATGTTATAATTATATCATATTATTATTTGAATTATAAAAGAACAATTTCATAAGAAGAGATCAGATAAAAAATGGATAAATGGAAAGATTTTTCTAGATAAATAACGAGAAAGGTTACAAAAAAAAAAACGACAGGCTATGTGTGCCCAAATGCAAAAATACTTTGCCATCAGGGGTTTCAACCGTAGCCCTTTACAACAAACCTTTAGTCAAAGAGGATCCCCATAACATGAACAATACATACAAAGTAAATGTCAGTAATTTACATATAGAGTTGCCCTTCAATTCTAGACCACCTTTGAGACCTGAAAAGTTAGGGTGGTCTCAGTGTTTGCTCTCCAATTCGAGGGTTAGCCGGACACCAGACGATCGCTAGCAGATGCAATTCCACGAAGCACGCAACGCGACAACACGTGCACAACATCGTTTTTAATGACAATCAATTTATACTGCCACTGACAATCAGCAGATGGCATCGCGTTGTCTAGCACTGACAGGGAGCGAAGTTGGATTAGTCGTGCAACAGTGATTGAAGATCATTACTTTTAGTACTTTGAAAAATGTGTTCTCGAATTATGGGGTTGTACAATTAGAAGAGCCTTGAGTTAGATGGCAGCATAGATTCTCTATAAAATTTAAAACTTCACCAATTTAATTAAGACAATATGCTCAATCTTAATAGAATTAAAATCTCACATCCCAAGATACAAGATAAAAAATTTATTGTCTCCAGTTAAAATAAACGAAGAAATTACAATGCTCGCAAGAAGAACAATTCCAAGAAAATCACATTAAAATTGGTCAAGGTAAAAAATAATCAACATCAAAATTCCATCAAAAAGCACACAAAAATTTAAAATTGTAGAAGGCCTACAATATTTACAGATAATGAAAAAATGTTAGAAGAGAACAAAAAAGGGTTACATATTTTAAAAAGGAGAAACTACTCAAGAGGAAAAAAGAGGAACAATAACAACCAAAATAATAACCTTACCATTATTTTCATTATGACACTATCCATACTTATAATATCTTGGAATATGGATCTAAAGGAAAAAAATTAAAATGAAATTACTGTATTTATTTATAGAAAGCTTGATAACAGATAATTTGTGTATTAATAAATAAATTATTGCACTTTTAAATTATTAACAGAAAGCTTCATATTAACAGATTAGAAGTGTATTAATAAGCACATTATTGCACTTTTTAATTATTTATAGAAAGCTTGATAACAGATATTTTAGAAGATGCGTCTTAGGAGTTTTTCAAAAAAATTCTTAAGACGCATCTTTTTTCCTAATCCATAATTGTATTTTTAATAATTTTTAATCATTCTTGTGATGGTTTTTTTGTATATTGTAATCCTAATTGCTAAATTTTCTAATTTGTATATATTCTTGAAATTTTTTTTGCATTTTTTTGTAATCTTTTGAATGTGTAAATTTCTTATTTCTAATGTGCTTTCACTTGTATCAATAATGTAAATTAAAAAATCTATTTTTGTACAGCGCTTTGGTCTCTCGGAAAAGTGCTTTATACATCCAAATAAATAAATAAAATAAATTTTAATAAGTAAATTATTGCACTTCTTAATTCTTACAAATCTTGATAACAGATAATTAAAAAGTGCACTGATAAGAAAATTATAAAGGATTGAACTAACACTTGAATACAAAAAAGTATACTATACATTGACCGTATTCGACTGGTGCGTCTTGTTGACAACGATATTTTGTTGACCATTATTTTTATTCAACTGGTTTGTAAAATAGACTTTCTGGACAACGGAAATCAACGTCAACCAGGGTGCGTTAATTTACAAAAGCTATCCACATGACCAAAACAAACATGACCAATTGCCTTGATATAATTTAGATTAAATTTCAGAAAATAATAAATATATTTACAAACATAAAGCCAAAAAATAATTGTAGGCTAACAGAATTCAAAAAACTGCATGAAAACATTTTTATACAAAAATCCCATACTGCCAAAAGCTGAAGCCAACTTGATTCGCTAGCATGTATCACGGTAACTACACAACTATTTTGTTTTGTATTTACCAGATTTCTATTCGTCCAGGCGTAGTTTAATGAAGAATGACCAGTCGAATACAGCCATTGGTTAACAATTATTATTTAAAATATTATTTACTTAGATAATAAAAACATTAATCAAGATTCAATTCTGGTAATCAAATGAAAGTACTGATATCCTTTTTTTACATAGAATAAAGATTATCTATTTTCACCTTGACACAAGCTTCATTAAATCTGATTAATTTTATTAATCATTTGGATATATATTTTTTTTAATACTTAGCTTATTCTGAAAGTTGAACAATGAACTATAAGTTGTTTATAAAGTTACTATGGAAATGCTTATAAAGGCAAACCAATGTACCATGCATTAGATTCTATTGGTCAAATGGCCAAGATCTTGCATCATCGCAGCCAATCACATGATGAAAAACTAGAGAAGTTATTATGTATTCAGAGTATATGAATACTTGAAACATTATGCAATTAATCATTTTGAATATAATTTATAGTAATCTTACTTGGTCACATTCATAATGAAGTCATTAAGTTTCCGTTGCCTTGTCATGTTTTGATAGATCTGTTTTCGAATTAAAAAATCAATATTGATTATACAATCATATAGAGATATAAGAACTAGGTCAGGCAGATATTTATTGCTTGCTTATCCTGGAATTGTGAATGGCATGCTGGGAAATGTGTTAAAAGAAAATGCCCGCAATTGGTCATTGTGAACATCGGCTCTTAATTGTGTTAAGAAATGCAATACATCACTGTGTGGTTACTTCATATCAATTACCTAGCCCTTTAAAAGATAAATTAAAAACATGTACAAAGTATGGTGAAAAAACGCTGATGATACAAAGACTGATCCCACCTGCCTCAATGACTTGAAAAAAATGAACTAAACCGCTATCAAGTGGCTCGCCAAGGCCGTGAAATAAGATACATACATATACATATAGGACGAGACATATTATAAATGCTGTTTTGTGGAACTGCTACTTGACAATAACAATTTTGAATAAACAATCTTGTTTTTCAACTGCTAGTGCACCACAATAATTTCATTAAATTCACAGATTTGAAACAATTTAACAGAAGTCTGACAAATAATGTAAATAATGAATGAAAGATGTGCCTGTGATACTTTGTGTAAACATTAAAATCACTTAAAGAATATTTTAAAATATTATCATTGAAATAACAGTATGAAACTAATTTGTACATTCAAATTTAGATTGAAGATCTATTAAAGTAGTAGTAGATTACGGAGCTGTTTCTACTGCAAGATTTACACCCTTTTTTAAACTGTTATTAAAAAACAGGGTTAAATTTCTGTAGAATAATAAAGTTTGTCATGACCCACATTCAATGACATATTTTTATGCCTCCTGATTCGCAGCTGGTAAAATACAGAGAAAATAGAAAACGGTGTAGTTACTGAAGGCTTTACAAAAGCATGCAGACTGACGAGGTAATGACTTTGTCTGAAAGACTAGAGGGAGGTGGTAAAAACTGGGCAATAGAGGTTCCAAATTTGATTTCTGGAAGCTACGATATTTATTAGCTTCAAAATATTGTTGCTATGTCAATTTTTATGTTATATCTTTAGGAGAAAGGAGTTATGTAAGACCTTAAGTGTACTTCAAGCGTAAACAGGCCTAGACTCACACTGCATCTCCATGATCTTTTAATGGATGCCTTGCAGAACTTAACCAGATTTTGCCTAATTACTTCTTGATAAAATATATATATCAAAATTAACAATTATCTGGAAAAAAAAACAACTCATATATCGCCTAGGGAGTAGACTATTATTTACAAAACTCTTCATCTAGAGTAATGACGTAAATTCACTACATCATATTTCAATTCAATACAATAAGCATATAAACAAGGAAGGACAGCTATTTCCCTTATTGTATCAGGTGGTGCTATTGAGAGCTGCATAATGGTGTGTACAACAGGTAAATGACAGGGTGCTCCATCTTGTTTTGAGCTTCAGGCTAACCCCATGACATCAATTTCATTTATTGTATAACTTTCAAGACCTATTTTAATTTTAGAATGTAAATTTTCAGTAAAGACTTCTTACATTTTCTTTGCATTGTCCACTTTCCATGTATTAATGACATCAGCCAGGACCTCCCTTGGACAAGACATCTATCCATCTATTAAAATCTACCTTCCAACTTGTAATTAAACGTCACAATGTAGTAAACTTAAGAAAAATGGATTAGGTCAAGATGTCGAATTATGAAACATGCTTGGAACCTTGACTTCCAACGATCCCCAAATTCATTACAAATAACTATGTAAAATTTAATAATGAACTATCATGTGAATTTGAAATTAGAAACCATCCGATGAAAATAGCTGGCACTATTTTAATTCTTTGCCATTCACATAATATCAGAGTAAAATACAAGATAGCATGCCTAGCCTGTATACAGACACAACATGAAATTCAAAAATGTTACGAAATAGAATGATATAGTTAATTGTACAGGAAATAAATTATTGAACAGAGTCAGTTGAAAAACAGATAAATACTGATTATTGTTGTAACTATTGTTTTTCTTTACTTTATTACATTATATATTTGACATATTTATGTTGTTTGTGCATTATGATGACCAACAATAGTGGACTTGCTAAAACTGCAGCTTTAGTCAATTTGTGAATAACCTTACATTTCATTAGTTCTTCTTTTGAATATGGCGAGATTTTTTTTATTCCTTGTTTCGCGTACTTAATTTTTTTAAAGTCATCGGAGGAGGGCAGAATAAAAATAAAAATTAATTTTTTTTTCTTATTTAGCAAATAGTTTTGCAAAAAACATCCAGACGGAGGAGAAAATTAAAATAAAATTTATTGGTGAATGTAAAATAGGATGGTTAAATACTTCAAATTGATATAATTGGAAAGAAATATACATTTCTTATCTTTGGAGATTTCAGGGCAGCAGAGGTCGTAATAAAAATAAAGAAAAACTTTAATTTTTTTCTGAAATTTCCATTTTTCGTGGTGGCGGGTGCGCTAATTGGCCAAAAATAAAACTTATTTTTATTCGAAATCACCAATATTTGCTAAGGTGGGTTCGTTAAACAAGGTATAAAAAAGTCTTGCCTAAGTGCAAGTAAACCTTGGCCTGATGTTAATGATTTTGTTTGTAGTATTAGCTGGTTTCTTAAACATTTATGATCAAAACAAATGTTTGATTGAGTTATTATCAACCGCTTTCCAATTTGATTTTGAAGGTCAGTTGCAATATATTTAGAAATTATGATATTTATGATTTATATCACCTTTCAGAATTCCTACAAGCCAGTGATAAACGATATTTTATTGCTGTTGGCTTGACAATTTTCTATCTTTCCTTCAATAGAGCTAAATAATACACAAAAGATAGGAAAAGTAATAAAAATATTATTGTCACTGGTGTTGATGATCCACTTACCTCATTTTCTGAATTTGATGTGCTAACGTGCTATAGACAAATATTCACCAAACAACATGGATTTACATAAAAAAAGAAAACAGAAGAATACCAGTAAGCCATTGAAGTACTAATAAGACATAAATTATGATAACAAGGCAAAAAAAAAAAGCAGCAAGGAAGCATAAATTTGCAATGGATGTGCACTTGACACCTTCCCCTTCTCCATCACACATGCAATGTGTCAAATCATTCTAGCTGTCAAGTTATCTGTGAATTGTGTATGTTCATTCAAATTAATGCAAACATCTTGCAATCTAAGTGTACAAACCACACATGCTATAGTAATTATAAAGTCACATTTATAGCATATGTGCTCCACATCAAGAAAAAAAAATATAGGCCTTTATTTACTTTCATATGTACACATTTCACATTAAAAATTATCTTGCACATCCAAGATATCTTGGGAATTTACATGCTCTGCAGGTAATAACCAAACATTATGTATTGATATAGATTTTTAAATATATCAAATTTTGTATTCAGCAAGGAAATTCACAACTGATCTCTTGCATAATTCATAAAAATATCTACACATAAAGGTACTGTGTCAAAAAACACATTTTATAAATAAAACTGACATTTTTCAATTTTTATACAGTCCGCCCACCCCACCCCCAATTCGAGACCCCTCTAAGTACCAAATAATTAACTATCACATAACACTGAGCTCACCCTCTAATTATGATTATGATGTCTCTCTTTAAAAAAATAAGTACGCGAAACGAGGAATTAAAAAAGTCTCGCCTTATTATCTTTTTTATGCATTTTTAAACTGGTTTTTAAAAAGCAATGTTTAGTTTTACTAGGCCATTGGATGAATCAGAAACTCGCTCGATCGAGAGCTGCTTATTGAAGATTGGGAAAATAAGGCGAGGCCAGGTAACAGAAAAGAAAATAACATCTTTCTTTTGTGAAATAAAGTATAAATTTTATGTTTACTTAATACAGTATGCTATTCAGATTGTTTTTCAATGTAAACAGCTTCAAGTAGGTGAAAACAATTGTGACCCAAGCTCACAAAAGGGCTGTAAACTCGCACCGCACTGTATTGAGGAACAAGCCCCCATAGCCAAAATAGGGCGTAGAAAGTGAATTTTGTGTGAATTGGGTTTTTGTGTAATAAATATAGTATAAATTTTAGTTTCAGTTTAAAATTATAACTGTAAGAGGTAAAATTTAGCCATTTTCGGATGGGAGCTAGTGAAAAATGAATAGAAACCTGCTGAAAATAAAAGCATTTTTCTCAAAACTTGATTTAAAGAAAGTTGATAAGATGACAATTATTCAAACGGTCATAACTTTGCTTCCAGACACCCGATTGAGTTCAACTGTAATTTTAAAGTAAATGATATGTTCTATGTCATTATAACAAATCATTTTGGCCTGAGGACGAGTTTACAGCCCTTTTAAAAAATTAGAAAAAGTAAACAACAATTTCATTGAAATAAATAAATAGTTGTCTTTTGGAGACCACATTTATCTTCGGTCTTCACTAAGTTTCAGGTTCGGTTACCCTCTAATTACGCTGTTTGGAGACGACTTCTAGCCTGTGGTCTCTATTCAGAGATTTATAATTCGAGACCAAACCCACACGACCACCGCAAATTTCAGGCACACAAAGTGATCTCAAAATTGTAGGGCGGACTGTACTAATAAAGCTCTGTCACGATTATCAAATTTTCTTTGACAAAAAACCGTTATGCCCATATTTAGTTATGATGTGCATATATATGGTCATGATGTGATGTCATAGTGACCATATTTAGGCATGTCACATGTTTTTGTCAAATAAGATTTTACAGTCTGGACAGGGCTTAACATTTTCTTTAAAGGGAAAACTTTTTTGTTAGAAGCTGTGGTGAACACAGAATTTTTTGCCAGGATGGCGCTAGTGGCAATAGAGGACTTATGGTCCAAATATGCGAAGCCTATTGTTAAAGAGTAAGGGCTTGTGATGTTCCTTTACCTACTGTGTTGGGGGGAGGGGATGTTCCAGGGGCCATTCCTTCATGAAGCTTTAAAATTTGAGCTATTTTAATTTCTTACATTTGATTTCTCACTTGGTTAGTGAGTCTTTATTGGTTGCCGGGGGAAACAGCAGTATTAAATTAAAAAAACTGTTGTGTGACAAAAATTGTTTGATCAACCATTGATGCCATCCACTTTCGCTAAGCAATCTTTGTTAAATGCTGTATAAATGGATTGTACTGCGCGAGAAGAATATTTTTCTCCGTCACTTGTCGCCACCATGGTCTGTTTAAATTGGCCTAAAGTGCGATACAACCGTCACTCAAAGGGTGTTTTCCATGAAATGAACATCAAACTGTTAGTCAGGTTTAGTAAATTATGTGGTACTTTACTGAACTTGAGAGCATATCAATCAAGATGAATATCTTCAATCAGCCCAGTATGAAATATTTTTCTCTGTAAGTAGGTAATCAAATGATTTTATCAAATGGTTTTAACTCATTCATTTAGCACATTTTCTCATTTCTTTCGGTTCTCTAAATTTCCCTATTTAAGATTTTACAAAATGTAATTAACCCATTCATTCAGCATTTACTCTTAACTTTCGTTTCAAATATATTACTCCCTTTAAGTAGTTAAATCCGCTCAAATGCTGTTAACTTGTTCTTTCAGCACATTATATATTTATTCCTTCTAAGTGGTTGTTTCCAAACGTGATAACTTGCACATCAATTAACGTTATAAATATTCACACTTTCCATACTTTTTGTTGCAATTTTTCACAATATTTTAATAAGTTTCCTCAATCTAAATTCATTTTGAATTCAATCTCACACTTTACTTTAACTAAAACCAATTTATGCAGAATTTCAAGAAAGTTCCAAACATGATTAACTTCTACACCAATTTACGGTATAAATATATTCACACTTTGCATACTTTGTGTTGTAATTTAAATATTTTAATAATTTCTTCAATGTAAACTAATTTTGAATTCAATCTCAAACTTCACTTAATTAAATGTTTAATTCAAGATCAGATGAAACTACTTAAGAAAATATTGTACCCAAAATTGCGCATAATCTACAAAACATTATCAACTACTGTAATTACATTAAAAATTCAAGAACACTATATTCTGTTCATTCATTTTCCATATCAAAACAAATTAAGCAAGATTTTATTCAATTTTCTTAGATTTTAATTACCAATTTATTTATGACTTGACTTGCTAAAATCTGTGATTATATTTTAGACCAATGAAACTTAGTATCAACAAACCTTAATCAACCCTTCAATCAATCAATTGTTTCATGTATATGGGAATTATATACATATGCTAGATTGATATATTATAAATAATAAACACATTAGAAATAGTTCTTACTATTTGTTTAACTGACTTTTGATTTACTTTTATTTAAGTTATACGTATGTTTACTTTATTTATTTCCACATATATTGGCTCATGGGTTAAACTCATGGGTTTCCATAAAATCGCTATCGGAGACAGCTTTCGGTGATGCTGATTGCTTGGTCAAATCGGAGAGCCTTTCCGATTGCGTCGAGGGCTGCTACGCAGTATGACAATTGCACTGACAACACTGTAGCGACAGTGTAGCGATTTCAAGGAAACCAAGCTTAATTGTATGAAAATGGCAGCTATTATATGGGACAATACACAGACATTTATCAACAAGAAATATGACAGATGCAAAATTTAAAAAGAAAAGTTGAGATTAAATGTTTGGTAAAATGTTGAAAACTCCACTATGCTTGTGATTTAGTGTAGGAGGTTTTGTTAGTATGAAAATATGCTCTTTACATCACTGTTAGTTCTATATATATATATGCTATCACAACATATCACTTTGCACCCTACAGCAATAATTGCATTGTTGCTACATTATATAGCTACTATTCAACTTAAACTTAAACTTTCTTTAGTGTTTTAAATCAGGATGTACTTATGATATTTTTTGACATTTTTCTTTGGCTACAGATGAAAGATGAAAGGGGTGATCATGAAATTTAAACATTGCAACATCAGCACAGAAAACATGCAGAAACAGCATAGTGAAAATGCAAGTGAGATTAAAAAACATGTACTGATAGTTTACAAAGACTCTTTACCTCTGCGTAGTAGTAAGTAACACATCCCCATACTAAAAAGTTGCTTGCAATCTGCAAAGTGAAGAAAAAACCATATTATTTAAGCTAATTCAAAATTCAAAAATCAAATCAGTATAATCCTGGTTCTTAAATCTAATGTACTGCACATTTTCCATATGATACAATGCGCACAAATCTACATCGGCAATAATTACACAATGGTACTATAAGAATTTTCATTTCTGTAGATGAAGCTTTTAAATAGTAAAACAATACAGATAACCACTGCTGCATAACAGAGGCTTTCTCTATGACTGAATTAAATTTGACTCCAATAAACATCAACAGAACTTAGCAGACTTTTACTCACCTAAATTACCAATAACAAAATATATTCAAAAACAGTATACAGTAAATAGAATTAATTTCTGTGCTATATAGCAAATAAAAAAAAATCTTTCTGCTGCTTCATTCTTGGGTCATTTCAAAGCATAAACAACATTCCGTTTCATAATTCAACATTGTTCAGAAACCATCGCTTCACTAACAAGTTGTTCCAGTCTGAAACAAACCGATTGAAACATTGTTAACCACCGGCCCAGAAATTGAAATGAAATATATACCTACCTCTTCTTCAGCCTCTGTGAAGCCAGGGTGATTGT